ATTCACATTTAAGGTTTATTGATATGAATAGTTTCAGCTATAAAACCAAATAACTCAAATTCACATTGGCATCAAATCAAGTGTAAAAAATCAATTTAGAAGAGAGGAACAACCTCCTATATTTTCATTTAAAAGCTAACCATAATACATTAACGCAGTACTCTCACTTTATTCTTAGAGTTTCAGATTATAATGGACCTTCGTGGGATAATCCTTGCTCATCTGGAGGAATTTAAACAGAAGATACCACTTCTTACTCTACTTTTAATATTGGAGCTAACGGAATTAATGGTGATCAACTTGGTATTTGGATATCAGTGTCTTTTTATCACTAAGCTACACCGAATGTGAATGTTCAAAACTATTTGACCAATAGTCAAAATGTGAAGATTTATTATGCAACTAAAACTGCTGGTGATTTTAGGAAAGTCTATGGAACTTGCAGATTCTATTCAGACCCAGTAGCTCCTATTGTTTAAAATAGAATTGGGCTGCCAATAGATTCTTATAATGGAGGCTTTAGTATTGGAAGCAAAAAATACTTTGTTTAACTTGAATAATTCACATAATGCAGTGGATATCCTATGACAACCGAGATGAAGCTATTTTCTAATTAACCATTACCTTCTTTCATCAAGTTTGATCCTATTCTGTATGCTCTAACAATAACTCCGAATTAAGCTAGTGCTGAAGGCATCATAAATTTAGTTTACTCAGCTTACATCATTGAATCCTCAGGATTTTCTAATTCTACAAACTTTTAGATTGAACTTTTGCCAAACTCTCCCCCAAAAGCAATATAAAACTTTTAAACTGATATTGTAATTTTTGCTCATTGAGAGCATTCCTAGCAAATTTCGTATTTCTCTGATTTTGAAGATGATATACCTATTTTTTCAGCAGATATTCTCGATAGTACCAACAGTTCTATTAAATCAACTGCTACTTGGTTCATTATAACTTCCTAGGACGATTAGTAAATAACATATAAGGTTAGTGATGCACCTCAACCAATTAATAAAGTGCAAGAACAGTATTACATTAAAGTTTCACTTTACGATGAATTTACATCAGCTAAGCCAAATAACTACTATGTTAGCTTGAAAGTAAACTAAAATAAAGCTCCCTTAACAACTTAAATTACTAACTTTACTATATCTACATTGATGATAACTAGATCATTTGAATACAGTATTTGGAGACAAAATTTTACTGATTTAGAAGGAGATATTGTTTAGATAAGCTGTGAAAAATTGTCAGCTGCACCTAATACTAATTGGATATCAATAACCTATAATGAAACAGCAGATGGAATAATAAAATTTAAAGGTAAAACTCCAAGAGATAACTCGTATGCTGCAGATTATACCTTTAGTTGTACAGCAAAAGACTAATTTGATGGTACTCCAAATGTCTACAATTTTTCTATGAAAGTTATCCCGAAACCCCCTATCTCCATAGTAAATCCTATATAAAAATAGACTTCAACTGTGAGAAGAAAGTACGAATTTGAATTTTCAAACGCCACCTAGGATTCTACAGGAGAATCTAACTATTGTTTTCTCTTTATTAACGGTACAGCGTACAATTAATTGATTCATAGATGGATCTTATTCAATGCTACAAATAATTCGATCAGTATATATCCAGATTCTAATTAACAGTCTGGAAATTATACTTTTTCAATAAAATTTGATGATCTCATTTCTACACCAGTTTTTTCAAACTTTACCTTTGAAGTTATTCCCAATTTTGAGCTTGTACCCCTTTGGGAGATTTCAAACAAACCGGTTATTATTGAAAACTTTTTCTTCTTCGATCATGATAAATCTTTATTATTCAGAGATCCTGAGGGATATGCATTTACAATGTACTTCAGACTTAAAGATAATTCGTATATTTATTTTGGTTAATATCGTTTAGGAATCAATTGCCTCATTTTATCAATTTGAATAGTTCAAATGGAACTTATGGGGGCATTACTAGTGAATTCGACATAGGCACTTATCCAATGGAGTGTGTAGGAGTAGATGAAGCTGGATGGGAGACTGTTATTCCTTTTAATATAATAGTGAAACGTATTTAATAACATTTAATCTTAATTTCATAAATTAGCATGCTATTACAAGTGCAGATCTTGCTCAGATGAAAATTATAATACTTGCAAAAGATGCAAACCTGGCTTCTTTTTCCTCAATAGTGAATGTGTTGATGAATGTCCTGAAGGGATGTACGGTGATTAATAGACCTTAAATTGTGTTAAATGCCCTCAAAAGTGTAGGCAATGTACAGGTCCAGACTCTAATACTTAATGTTCATCATGCAATTTTGGATATTTCTTTCTTGTTAGCGGCTGCTTTAGTAAATGTCCAGATCTATTCTTTGGAGATACAGCTACATTTTCTTGTTTACGTTGCAATTCTGCTTGCAGTGTTTGTTATGGAGCTAGCTCAACTTAATGCAGCAACTGTACAGAATTATTTGCAGAAAATGAAGTTGGTACTATTTAGAAATAAGGATATATTTTAAGTGGTGGGACAACTTGTAAAATACCGAAGTGTATCGATGGCACATACTTTAAATGGTCAAACAATAATTTATTATCAGGTGAATGTTTAAAATGCCACTCTTCGTGCAAAAGATGTTTTGACATTGATGATTAAAGTTGCTTGTCTTGCAATCAAGGATACAGATATAATTTAGCTACTAAAAAATGCATTCCTTGTGAATAGATTTATGGATTTTTTACTAACGAAGAAAGGGATTGTGAGGAGATTTGCGGAGATGGAATTCTTATAGACAAATAATGTGATGATGGAAATACTGTATCTGGTGACGGTTGCTCTAATTAATGCATGCTTGAATATGGGTATATTTGTCCAGCTGCGAATTAAACTTGCAAAGAGAATATTCCTCCAGTTTTTACAATTACTTCTATTTCAAAACTTAACCTTATCAGTTTAGAATTTTCTAAACCAGTTAACATTAAAGATACTTCAAGTATATCTACTGAAAACATTATAGTTGAAATAAGTGGGCCGAATGGTTTCTATGACTTCGGTTTTAGAATAATTGAATAGCCTGGAATGGAGCTAAAACCTGATAGGGATATTAGAAGATTTGGTATTATTCTATAAGATATAAAAACATCATTAATTGGACTAGAATCTATCAAAATATACTTTAAAGATGTGTCTCAAATTTATGATAAATCAGGAAATGTTTTAACTCTTGGTACTTATGAAGCAATCTAGGCTCAGCCATTTATCTATATTTCAAAGTAAGAAAAAGCTGCTCTTAATAGTGGTGGTTCTTCAATGAAAATGGCATTTTTATCAGTTTTTAGCTTTAATATAGCCCTAAAAGTAGTCCTGAATTCATCGATGCAATATTTATGGGGACTTGTCCATGCACTACAGATATTTAATTATTTGCTCTTCATCAACATTGATTTCCCTGAGAATGTTGAGATTTTCTCAAACTATCTTAAAGTAGCTACTGGAGATGTAGATGAATTGAAAGACTACATACCTAGCATATCAAGCTTACTCATTGATGAAAATTAAATTCACAGCGATATGGATAATGAAAAAATGCCACAAAAATTCTAAGATAATGACATATCTCCATATTTTATTGTTGCTTTTGGATAGAAATTGACATTATGGTGCTTAGGGTTGATGGTGATATTACCGTGTGTACTGTTATTGAATAAATTATGTAAGCGTGTTAAAATTTGGGAAGATTTATAGCGTTCATTTTTTTTCAATGGACCTTTAAGAACTTTCATTGAGATGTACATAGAACTTATAATTCAAGTGGTAATCAATACATAATTCGTTAAGTTCAGGAATTTGAGCTAGATAATTACAACTACCTTTGCATTTGTTTTTGGAGCACTTTCTTTGCTTTTGCCATTTCTTACTATGACATTGATCAGCAAAAATAGGAGATATTTGAAAAAAATTGAATGGAAAAATTCATTAAGTATGCTAACTGAAGAATTCAGCCATAAAACTATCTTATAGCTTATTTATTACCCCTTATTTATGTACCAGAGATTAATAATTGCAGGGACTTTGGTATATGTTTATGATGCACCAATTCTATAATGTGTCATTGTTATTATTTGTAATTTTGCGATGATGGTGTACATGATTACTGTAAAGCCATTTAAATAGGAGAATCAGCAAATTACAACTGTAATTGATGAATTCATAATTATGATATGTCTTATGATTTTTATTTACATTGCTAGTACTGAATACGACCCTGATAAAATGAAATAATTAGGAATGTTAGTGATATTTATGATTATCTTTAGTGTCATAAAAAACTTCAGTGTTGTCATATATTTTGGATATATCGAAAGTAGGGCGAGAATGTAAAGAATGTTTGGTGCAGAAGATTTACAGAAAGATTCTCATGATACTTTTGGAAGTACTGATAGTGATTTTGAAGATATGATCGTTTAAACGGATGATATCAGTACAAAAAGAACTCTGAGATTAAATAAATTGAACATGGATTTTGAAAATAAAATTGATAATGAATAAGCTCCTCCTAGCACTAACTTAGGAGATACATATATCAAGGGATAAAAATATTATGATAATATTACTAGAATAGTTTGAGGAATAATTAATAATTTTTATATTTGATAATGCAACAAGATTTCAAAATATAGCATGTCGGGGTTTTGGGGTTTTGGGGAGATCGG